CGGGCCGCGGGGCCGGGTGTCACGTCCGTCCGCTCCTGGCTGGGAGGCGCTTTCCTCTCCGGAAAGCCCCGCGCGGCAGCCTGCGGCCGCGTCCCCGGCTCCCGCTGCCCTCTCGGGAAGCGTTTCTTCCGGGGCTCAGGAGGGGCACAGTCCCCTCCGGACTGCGGCGCCTCCCCACTTCCTGTCACTCGGAGAGAGGGTGGCGGAACCAGGGCAGGTGCTCAGCGGCTGTGACCTGGAAACCGCCTCCTGCCCCGGGAAGACGCCCACCCCGCCCACTCCCGGAGGTGCCGCATTGCTTTCCTGGACATCTGGGAGCATGCGGAGTTTACTGCCAACAAAAACAGACTTCATCTTTCCATTTTCCTATTTTGAACGTGCACCTTTCTTGTGGTGCAAATACCATTGTCTTTTGGAATGCAGTATTTGCGGGTAGCTTGGTTCCAGGACTCTCCACCCACCATGCTACTAAAATCTGAACGTGTGCAAATCCTTTATGTAGAACTGCATAGTCCTCATAGGCACACCTTACCCTATGCTTTGGATCATGGTAGTTTGCATAGTATACCTTTTAAAAATAAGCTTTCTTAGTTATATATGGGAATTAATATTTAGCTATGGAATTTTTAACTCCCATAATGAATTGATTAAAGACAGGTTAAAAAATACCGATGCTGATGCATATCAATTAAACACACACAAAAAACCCAATTGTGCAGAGTAGGCTTGAAATAAGCATCATATCCATAGGTTGAATTCATTTATTTGAAATTCTATGAAGTTACATCAAAATTTGTTTCCCCAGTTACTGAGAATAAGGTTATTGGTACCTGCTTGTGTTATGTTAGGAAATCACTTTAAATCTTACATCTCTTCCATTAGAAACAAGACAAAACATTGGAAAACACTTAAAAGAGTACAATTCCAAATGTTTCTATTTTTCAATATAAAAACACCTAGAAATTTTAAAAATATTAATGCTGAGAAATCTGTAATTGCATAACAGCGAATGTTCTACATGGGAAAAGTAATGTTTGGGGTATATTTGAGCTCCCCCCAAAAACCTTTAAAAAAAATCCTGCTGTACTTAATGATGTGACCTATTACAATGAAAAGTTAGAAAAGTACTCATACTGTATGCCCATTGAGAAAAAAACATTTCTCTTTAGAATTATTACTAAAGAGTGTATTAAAATAAGCTTTTTAGTGTATTTACTAATATATTTTTCTGAAGCATTTTTAACCTAAATTTGCATCTTTATCCTTTAGCATTTCTAAAACAGTGAAAAGTTAACATGCTTTTCAGTAATAGTGCTAAAAAGTAAAAAGCAAACCAAACCAAACAAGCAAACAAAAAAACCTTCGAGATAGCTAGTACAATCTTCACATGTAGTAATCTAAAGTTACTACAGTTTGAGCAAGCCCTTCCACTGGTTAGAGATTTTTATTGTTAAAATTGTCTAGCATTCAAAATATTAGGGATTTCTTCTGGACTTAATGTTACCTTCTTACGAGCCAAATTCTATTACCAAGAGAATTTAAGCTTTGCCGCTCATTCATACCACTTTTTGAAATGGCATGCGGGATTTAGAAATAGATACTTTGAAGACAGAGATCATGTGTCTTTGTCCCTCAGCATCTTAGTTCACTTCAACTCTCTTCTCAGACTCACAGAGGTTCTCTTGTATGTCCATTTCCCTGCATCAGCGACAGTCCATGTGTAATCTGAAAAGTGAGAGAAACTGTGGCTATATCTGACTTCGATCTGAATTTATTAATTCGATGGAAATAGAATCTAATTTTTTAAAAAAGAACACTTGTTAAACTATTAATTTCAGTGGAACTTATGATAAAAACTGGGGGTTTCATTTGTTAGTATATTTTCTCCCTCCTCCTTTTCCTCCTGCTCCCCTCCACCACCACCTCCTGATCCTCCTCCTCCCAGTCCTCTTCCTAGTCCTTCTCTTCCTTTTCTTCCTCCCCCTCCTCCTCCTCCCGCTCCTCCTCCTCCTTCTGCTCCTCCTCCTGCTCCTTCTCCTCTTCCTCCTCCTTCGGCTCCTCCTCCTCATTTTAACATGAACTACCTTTAGGCCCGGTTTTTTCCTCCTGTATTTGACAACATATTATTTTTAGATCAAGTATTATGGATTGAATTGTGTATCCCCCCAAAATGCAGAAATCCTAACCCTCAGTACCTATGGATGTGGCCATATTTTGAAATAAAGTCTTTGCAGCCAATCAAGTTAAGGTCATTATGATGTATTGTAACCCAAGACAATCATGTCCTTTGAAGGGGGAAAATTTGGAAACTTGACAGCCACAAAAGAGGGAAGGTACTGTGAAAACACGGGGAGAATGTCGTCTCCAAGCCAAGGAATGACTGAAGCTAACATAAACTAGGAGAGAGGGATGGAATACATTCTCCCTCATGGCTGTCAGAAGGAACCAGGCCTGCCAGCACTTTGATCTTGGATTTCCAGCCTCCAGACTGTGATACCACAATAAATTTCTGTTTAAGCCATCCAGATTGTGGCTTTTTATTGGGGTAGCTCAAGGCAGCTAATAAACCCAGGTATATTTTTAAAAAAACTTTTTATTTGAGATAATTGTAAATTCATAGGAAGTTGCAAAGACAACAGAGAATTACTCTGTATCCATCACTCAGCTCTCCCCTAATAGTTACATCTCATAATTCTAAAACAATATCAAAACTAGTAATCTGGCATTTATCCAGGGCGTGTACATTGTTTCGTGACATTTTATCACATGCATAGAATGTTTAGCCATTTACCTATTGAGAGACATGTTAGTTGTTCCCAGTATCATATTTTAAATGTACAGATTAACTGGTTAGAGCACTAGGCAGAAAGCCCCAGGAATGTGCCCCTCACTGCTCCTCTCCATGTATACTAACACTAGGAAGGTGTGGATTTAGGATCAAATTGACTGAATTAACTCACTTAGTCATTTCTTCATAATGAAAAAAAATTACATCCAGTGAAATTATACTTTATTTTTTAACATAGTACCTGTAGTTTACTATGTAAAAGGAGAAAATAATTTGCTTTAAAATCATGCACTTTAGGGCTGGGGATGCAGCTCAGTGGCAAAAGTGCCTGCCTGACAAGTGCAAGGTTCTGAGTTTGATTCCCGGTACCAAAAAAAAAAAAGTTAAAATCATGCACTTTGACCCTATGCTTAAAGAAGAAAGGAATCTGAATGATAGTCAGTGCTTACTATTCTACTGTCACATATTTATCTGCTCATGTATATGCTAGTAGCATTTTCTCCTTTTTGTGTAAATATGATTTTTAATTAAAAAGAAATATGTGTGCCAAGTGTGTATGGTAAGACAAACAGTTTGAAAAGGTGTATACGTGAAAATCTAGCTTTCCTGATATTCAAGATCTTCAGTTGTACCTATCCTAAGACAACAGGTACATTCTACAGATATTTTATGCGCCTTTATGCTGTGTTGGAAACACAAGGATAACAGAATGGGCTGAGTGTTCTAAGGGAGACAAAAAGTGGGACATACCGCTACAGTGTGGGACATGCTCCAATAGTGAAGTCTGGGGCTTGACGGAGAAGCAGGAGATAGTCCCTTATAACAGAGAGTCATGCTTGGTAATTACATGCTTAGGAATTTAATGAAGGGCTCAAAGAGATAGGTAAATTGCCAGAAGGCACAGTTTGTTTGTTACAGAGAGTAACATTCCTGAACAGATCTGTTAGAATCAAAGTTCATATTCTTTCTGGGAACTGCTTTAGTTCAAAAACAAACAGTGAGGCATTCCATTTTCGGTTTCACTTTATACAATGTCTCAGAGAAATTTCGTGGCTAGGGAATTTCCTAGTTAAGGTAGTGTGGACAAAGATTTATTGTTAGAGAAATTTCATGGGCAATTCCATTTTCCTCCGGGATTTTATTTGGACAGTTTCTGAGACTGTGGAAAAATATGTAGCTCAGTCTATATTTAAATATTTCGGCTGCTGAATTTGGCAGAATATTTTGCTTTTAAAATTTTTTGAAAATTCGAAATCATTTTTTTCCATCTATCACTCCTGGGTTCTGAGCAACATATACTAAGAATATTAGCTTTAGGCAATGCACACACACTTGTGTGTGTTTTTTTTTTTTTTTTTTTTTTTGTGTGTTTGTGTGTGTCTGTGTGTATGCATACATATGTGTGGAAGTCCACTTCTCTTGAGAATTTCCAGGTGAGGCAGCTAGCACTGTGCTTGGCTGGTCCATGTTGTGTTTTTTTTTTTTTTCCTTTGGTTTAGGCAGTTACTATGTGAGAGAAGTTCAGAGATCAGTGCCCTTTAAAGCATCCTGCTTTGGGCAGGCAGAGACCTAACTGTGGAGAAGGCAGAACTTTTCTCACTGCAGCATCTTATGTAGTTTAGTTCATAAGAAGGCAAGGTGATGCAATTGTCTGGAAGTGGAAACTATGACTGAATCAGGAATCTAACGTCAGCAGCTGAGCAGATTGTTAGGGAGAACTCTAAGGTTTATTGGGAAATGAGAAGCACTCTGGAAGCTTCTGTGATTCACTTTTCATACTCATCAAAAGGAAGAGAAATGTGTACCCACCCAGAGCAGCCTTGTTGCACAACTCCAGGGGGTTCTTCACATTTAAGAGGTGTCACTCACATGAAATATAAGATAAACATGGCCACTGGATTTGGGCAATGTGGAGGCCCTTTGGCCTACTTATTGTCCAGTACTGTACCGAGAGGCTCAAGTTACACAATGAATGTAAGAGGACTTTATAAGCTGTACAACTGACAATATATGTAAGTAAAA